AAAGCAGCCTTTTGCCGTGCAGGTTTTGAGACAGGTGTGATGGGTTTGGTGCTGCAGTTGGCATTGCTGAGAGAGAAGCATCACACAACAGGCTCATTTCACATGCTCCTGGAAACATCTAGGGACATTTGGGGATGAACTCAGAAAATCCCGGTATGAGGAATTCTGTGCCCTTCGGCCAACCCACAGCCTGCATTCTGATTATGAATTGCCATCAGCTCTAAGCAGTGGGGCCAAAAATTAAACTGAGCAGCACATCAGTGCAGTTGTGTGGCATATTGGGACCAGGATATAGATCTGAAGTTTCTGTCTGTTGGTAAACCATGCTGGGGTGACCTCTGAGGCCTGGGGACAAGTAGTTTCATCATGTTCTCTGTGGAACTCTGTGAAGAGGACATTGGGAATACAGATCACAGTGAGATCAGGTGGATGACAATGCTCCAACCCCCCCTCCATGGGAGGAGCCTAGCATCGACTGAAGAGTGGGTGGTACTCGGCTGAGGACTGATTAAATGCCTAGGAATGGAATGTCTCCATGATAAAGTAGGTATATTCTTAACTCTGTGAAGCTGTTTTTTAAGTGGTATGTCATATCTATTAAAAAATAGAAAGCTTTTTGCTCCATATCCTTGCCATAGCATACTAAGCTTTGTCTTTTAGCTATTTTATTAGGAACCCCACCTACCTTATCATAGTTAATTTGAAATTCTCTTATGTCCTGTGGACACTTCCTTTGTCATCCCAAGTTCTCCTGAGAATTTATTGTCAGAATAAAATGTATTCAAAATTCCCACCTTGAAACTCCGTCCGGCGCCTCGGATCTGTTTCCATTGGGTTCTACAGAAACTCGTGTGGTTCCTCCCTGCGACAGCCAAAATGGTGAAGCTGATCGAGAGCAAGGAGGTTTTTCAAGAGGCCCTGGCGTCTGCGGGAGACAAGCTTGTAATTGTGGACTTCTCTGCCACGTGGTGTGGAGCTTGAAAAATGATCAAGCCTTTCTTTCATTCCCTCTCGGAAAAGTATTCCAGTGTGGTGTTCCTTGAAGTAGATGTGGATGACTGCTAGGATGTTGCTGCAGACTGTGAAGTCAAATGCATGCCGACTTTCCAGTTTTATAGAAAGGGTCAAAAGGTGGGTGAATTCTCTGGAGCTAACAAGGAAAAGCTTGAAGCCTCTGCTGCTGAATTTGCCTGATCATGCCCTGAAAAACAGAAGCATCTACTGGCTGTTTAAACCTGTAACTTTTTTTTTTTTTTTTTGGTTTTTCGAGCCAGGGTTTTCTCTGTGTAGCTTTGCGCCTTTCCTGGGACTCACTTGGTAGCCCAGGCTGGCCTCGAACTCACAGAGATCCGCCTGCCTCTGCCTCCCGAGTGCTGGGATTAAAGGCATGCGCCACCACCGCCCGGCAAACCTGTAACTTTTTTAATTTTCAAAAAGATATGAAGTGTGAGGAAAGGCTATGCCCAACTGACATCTGATCATAAATGGCAATAAAATATTAATTCTACCCCTTTAAAAAATTGCCATCTCAAATTTTGGGTGCTTATTTTAAGTCATGAGAGTGGCTTATATTTTATGCTCAGGTCTCATGGTGAGTGTTTAGATTCCTATTGTTTTCCAAGACTGTGCTTCCCCTGTTCATTTCAGTACGGCATTTTTGAAGAACAAACATTACAGTGTGGCTGAGTCGATATTACTGATTTGTAAACATTTTAAAGTTTGTGTCTTTTATGCTTTAAATTTTCCAAACCCACAATATTACAATTTTCTCAATTTTTTATCTAACTTCATAGTTTGAAAATTTTGTATTTATATCTATTATTTTAAATTTTCTTATTTTTATTTTTCCATCTTTTCAAAGTTTTTTTTTCTGTGTAAAATGTGAAACTGTGGTCAGTGGTCACTTTCTAGAGCATGGCTCTGCTATATAAGCAATATCATTTTAATGTGTTCATTTAATATGAAATATTGTCATACTTTCATAAGGATTAGGCATGCACTTCTGGAATCTCTTATGTTCCATTTTTCTTTCTCTAGAATTAGGCATTTCTTGGAATGCTATAGCTTTTCTTATGATAAAATCTTCTAACTTTGCTTTCTTGCCTTCAGAAAGAATGTTGTGTTCACTCTTAATCTTTTATATTTCCATCAAACATTTGAAATTGGCTGTTCGGTTTCTACAGCAACAATGGAATGTCTCCAAGGAGTCTGGTTTTTGAGTCACTATCTCGTTGTGCAGCACAGGCTAGCCACAAAATCAAGCTCTCCTTTTCTTAGCCTCAAGCTGGCAACACCAGAGTGTGCTACCAAACCCAGCAGCTTCCTTAGCTGGGTTCTTTGCAACGCAGGGACGACGATGCTTGGTCTAAGTATGTGTCTTCTTATCTTAACACATACATCTGTATAGCTGTTCTTTCCATTCTCAGTCAGCCTTCAACATTTTCAACAAACAGGGCTTGTATATGTTTGTCAACTTTATCTGTGTGTATTTTAGGTGGTTTTTTTTTTCTGTTATGTCTTTCTTTCAAATTCGGATTTTTTCCCCATTAAGTACATGTACAAGCAATTTTTTTTCCTCCAACCTTGGGTACTGTAAACAAGTTAAGTTCACCTACCAACTCTCCCGGCACCTTTGTAGACTCCAACAGCTTTCTTGTACAGGTGGCCACAATGTCTGAAAAGACAATTTTTCATCCATTGCCTCAAATGAGACAGGTGTGTTTCTATTTTCCCGTAGTACACTGCCAACAGGACAGTGGCCAGGAGAAGTGGTACAAGCAGACATTATTTTTCACTTAAGGTCAAAGCGTCCAGATTTTCCTGATGATATATATTTATCTACTACATGTGTGTGCATCCAGTGAAGCTGTTCTTTGTCAGGGTGAGGAATGCCCTTCTATTATGTCTAGTTTTGGAGAGATTTCATTAAGTGCTGATAGGCTTTCTTGAGCTCTTTCATCTATTTATCCTTTAATAATCTAGTCATCAGATTTTTTCTGAACCTGCTAAAGTGGTAAATCACAGATACACTTAAGCTCTACCCCTACTTGCATTCCCCATGACAACGCCACCTATTTGTAATGTACTAAGGCTTGGATATGTTATTATATACACTTCCCTGGCTTTTTATTAAGAAAATGTTACATGTGTGATGGGAAGTGTTTTGAGTTTTTGTCTGGGTTTTGCATTGAGATAACACTGGCCTTGTAGAGTAATTCAGAGTAATTCCTTTAAAGTTCAATGATGAGAGGACTCCAAAGAGAGAGGAGAAAGTACAAAACAGGGAATCAACTTTGATAAAAGTAGAGTATTTCTTCAACCTGAATAATTCCCTAACTATATTATGGATGAGAAACACCTGAAAATTAATTTAAATCAGCTTGTATATTAGAAGGTCTGAAATGGGTACTATAACTATCTCTTACCAGGATACAAATCTCTCAGATGTTAGAAAGCAGGCGAGTCACCTGCTGGGCACTCCTCCTTCAGTCAGTGCTTCCTAATGTGTCTCCCAGACCAAAAGCATCACAATCACCTGAGGACTCTCCGAAATCCAACATTTCTGTACGCACTGCAGTGTACTAGTCAGTAACTCACCAGGAGCATGTGAGGATGGCCTGAATTCTAGGAGCTTTCAAGGAGACTGCAAAGCACACTGAAGTTTGAGGAATTGCTAATTAAATTAGTGAAGAGGGAGGGAGGAATAGAGGTTAGAAAGAGATGGAGGGAGGAAAAAATGAATGAGAATGAATTGCTAATTTTGTGTGTTTTACTTTAGAATGTTGGAATAATTTCTCTATACAGGCTTCCTTTTTGTTAGGACCTGTGAAATATCTGAGAATAAAGGACGTTTCATTGGGTCAGATGTTTGAGTATAATTTAAGTAGATGGATGAACCTGAGTATGCGAGCTAGTGAGCTGATGGCATTGTCCAGGACTTGATGCCCACCTAAGAAAGCCGATTCTCAACCTTCATCTCTTATAAAATACCTGCCCCGTAGCATAGTATTCTTGGTGTACTATGAGATACTCAACATGGTGTTGTGAAGGTTACAGTTTTCTTGAATTTTTGTGGGGATATGTTGCCAAATGGATGAATGGGAAAGTACATGGGAACAGTTGAAGAGAGTATTTGCAAATGAGCCAATGATTGTAATCATGTCCTATGGTGTTTATGTGTTTAAAGACAGAAATGAAAACAAAAGAAAACAAAACAAAACTTGCAGAGAAAGTTCTGGAATCTGTGGATCCAGAGCTCTTAATAAGGTGGAAGAATTGTTTTACTAAGCATATTTTAGAAAATGAGTTGGGTGTAAATTGTAGTGACTGAAAAGTGAAGTGTTGGAATTAGCATGTTTTGTGATGACAAGAGGCAAGGTGCCACATTGGTATAGAGGCTGGTGTCTCCTGTACAGAACATGGGCACTAAGATGGCTACAGACGTGGTGAACATGATATTTGTATAAATACTGAAAATCTCTTTCATAAAGTGATGTCAATATCAGAGTAATCGAAAGATGAATAATGGCTAGATCATCAAGGATCCAACAAAACTAAGACGACACAGAGATCTGAGCACCACTGAATAAAAACTCAGTTGTTGCTGACACCAGAAAGTGCAGAGACCCTCATCTCGTAGCTCATTAATCAGGGGCCACCACAGTTTCCAAAATATATGCTTCTACAGTGTTCAGAAGTCATAGAATTCACTTATAGTATTTATCAAGTTATTATAAGTATGAGCAAGAGTACTTATGTGACTGTACAAATACCAAAAGGAAAAAAATAAAAGTAGCAGTCAGTTACTGTATAGATCTCTACAAGGAAACTGAATCATAATTTCTCCCTCATGTTTTTCTCCTATTCAAAACAGGAACAACTACATCAAAAAAAAAAGGTTGGCTTTGAAAGACTCCTACCTGCTCAGAAGTACAAAGATGGAGATTTCTGCCTCTGTGCCCCACTAGCATCCATTCTAATTCTGTTTTTCAAATTCACAGAGAGTGAAGATGTTTATCAAAGGCAGGTGCTGTCAATTTCATGTATCATCTTTGGAATTGTCATCGTGGGCATGTTCTCTGCAGCATTCTACTTCAAAAGCAAGTAAGACCATTTCTCTGGTGATTAAAGGTTACGTCTGAAAGAAAGCTCTTTTCCTCCATAGTCTCAATTTCAGCTCCATGCAGAGGGATCCTTTGCACATTTGTTCAGCAGTGATCTGCAGAGAATTAGAGCAGTCTGTGGATCGCAGTGAATGCAGGCAGCCACATGTGTGTGTGTGGTGGGGAGAGGGTTCTCAGATACACAGTGGAGGAGGTTTCAGACACCTTGGTCACCTGTCTTCATTAAAGGCTTAGCAACTTCCACTAAAAGGCTAACTAACTCTCTTCGGTAGGAACTAGGGTGGGGGTGGAGGAACCACTGCTGTGAACCTAGATGCCATCAACCATTGTCAATAGGAAAAGCCTTTTCCAGGAAAAAAAGAAAAAAACTACAAAAAAGTATCAGTTTACTTTCAAACAGTTTTTTGCTTGTTCTCATAAAATTTAAGTCACATTTAATGAAAGAACACCAAAAACTGTGCATGGGTTCACAGTTTGGGATATAGAACTTGAATATGCTCTGAATTTCACTTGCCAAGAAACTATCTGCAGATGAAGGGACTTATTATGATTCATAAAGTAGAATTAAAAGTATATTATATCCATATTAATGTGTTTATAACTCTGCATTTTATAAATGAACATGGATGAAATTATTTATGGAAATGATGTCATCTGTACTTAAGATAGGAATTGCAGATCCAAGTGTTAGTCTATTAGGTTCTTGAACCTTAAGACATTGGCTCCAGTTATATGGCTGCAGCCTGTCTGAAATCATAGTCAATGCTCAATTGCCTTTCTTTGGACCACTGTTTTTCTGTTCATTTTCTTTTCCAAAAATGGAGCACTTTGCAGATACAGTTTGTAATCTCTGTCTGTAAGTCACACCTGTCAATTTTTAAAGAGAGCTACAATTATGACTTTAAATAAGAAATATTGAGGCATGACTACAGGATTAGTGACTATTATTTCAACAAACTTTTTTTTTTCAAATGCTTTTAGAGTTTCAGAACTACTATAATAACAGCATAGAGAATTCTCATGCACTCCCTACCTAGTACCCTGTTATTAAGTATTGTATTAGCATGGTATTCTTGTCACAATAATGTCCAATAATTGTACTGTGTAACTAAAGTCCATACTTTCAGCCTTCCTTAGTTTTTGACATAATGTCTTTTTTCTTACTCAGGCCCTTTTCCAGCATACCACATAACATTTCCTGTCACATCTCTGTACCTATTGTCTGTGACAGTGGTGATCTCCAAACACGTGCCAGGCACACTGGGATTTTAGTGATTAACTCTCTGCCCTTACAACTTTCCAAGGTTTTTTTTGTTTTGTTTTGTTTTTGTTTTTTTGTTTTGTTTTTTTTTTTTGCTGCATTTTCAAATAATATATCAGTCAGCTTCTATTGTCTTAACAAAGAGGCGAGATACTGAAGCTGCACGGCCTTATTTGGACTCAGTTTTGTTCATTTCAATCAGGATTGATTGGTCCTATTGCTTGTTGTGACAGGATGTGGCCACACATCATGGTTGCAGTATGGAGCAGAAGAGAGCCTCCGCCTCTGGGCAGAATGTGAAGCAAAAAAGGAAGAGGGGGGGGGGCAAATCTCACTCTCCCCTTCAAGGGAATATTTTCAATAACCAGAAGGCTTTCCAACAGGTCCAGGTTTTAAAGTCTCCACCGGTTGCTCTGAGCCAAGCTGGGGACTAAGCCGATGCCCAAGCCCTTAGAGAACAACACTAGACACTATGGGAATTTATTTTAAAACATTAAGTTGTAAAAGGAACAAAGTAGAAAATTACAAATATGGTACTGTGACTCCCAGGAGTTCTAGTTTAACTCTATGCTATAAGCTATAGTACTAAATTGGCTTATATAGTCTTCTAGCTGAATGGCAAAGCTCCTAGTTGGGAGTTCCCCTGCTTTGGTGGAGCCCCAGTGAGGCCATGTGAGGGTACTGGTTGGGATAGTATATGAGCCATGGGTGCATTTGAATCTCCAATTTGCCATTGATTCGTGTTACTAGGAATATTTCCTTCCTGCTTTCTTTTTGGAAAAATATGAATTAAAAAATGCCTTATAGGGCGAAAGCTAAAGGAGATGGCGCTGTGAAGGGCGTTGCTTAGTATTCAAATCGGAAACACTTCAAATCAGAAATGAGCAACCTGAGTTGTTAATATTCATGGCTTTCCACTCTGGGACTTGGAGGCTGGATAGCTACCAAATTAAGAGCAGCACTCGAGCCCACAAAGGGTAGACACCCAGCTTGGCATTAGGAGTGTCTGCTTTTAATGGCTGTGTATGAGAAAGAAATTGGGAAGTAATATTAAATTTACAGAGCAATAAGTAAATTGCTATGAAGACAAAACTAATCACTTATTCCTAGAGTACAATTTGCAGTTTTAACACATTTAAGCAAAAGATTGATTATAGTCATCTTAACAATGAAAGCAAGCAAGTACAGGATGTGTGGCATCAGGACCATCAGTCTTTCTCCCTGGACCACAGGGGAGCTCTGAGACCAACATCTGTTGCCAGGGCATAATGAGGAGTCAGAGTGTTTAAAGGAAACACTTGTAAATACAGGCTTCCTCACCGGAGACTTAGAGGACCACACTGATGAAAAAGCACACACTGGGATGCTCCGCTTCTACCTGCCTTAGCTGAGGAGCTATTGGCAACTTATGGCTTTTTGGAGAAGAAAAGTGAGTTTTCTTCAAGAATGCAGATCCTGAGAGGCCATCTATGCTCCAGTAGAGGGTCCTACACCCATGCACATACAGGAAGCACTAAGTTGACTTGGTGGGTTAAAAAAAAAGAGCACATGAACTTGGAAGGGAAAAATGGTGGGAAGAGAGTAGAGGAGAATTGTTAGGGGAGATGTGGGGTGGATTTGGTCAAAACATATTACAGGAATGTATGAATTCTAAATAAAGTAAAAATATGGTAGAGAATAGAAGAAAAGATAAAATAAATAAGTTTAGATAAAAACAGCAATAATAAAAATGGAAGACCATTCCAACTGGAATCATATTGCTCATCAGAAATCTTCCCAAGTCTGAGAGGTATATTTCATGTCAAGTACTATCTCCCTCCTACCAAAATTGAATGTCCTCTGTTATAACACCCACATGTTTCTCTTATGGATTTATGGATTCCTCACTCCTTTTCCCCAATATTATAGATAAAATAATGGGCTTGATCTTAATTTTCATGCATAAAATACAGATATGTAATATATAATATGGATTTATAGGATACAATATATTTTTTCAGCTTTGTAAGCCCCAGTTATAACAAGATCATAAGGTACTTTTAATTGCTCTCCAAATGAGTTCACTAAGTTATGCATTTGATGGACTGAGATCTAGCCTTCTGGGTAGAGCAAGCTGGTACTTAGCCAAAAGCTCCGTGCTCACAGCCATTTATGTCCTATTTCCCATAAACACTCAGATTGCTTCTCTGGTCTTTTCTCCCGGTTCTTGTTATACCTGGCACTGTGTGACCTCATCAAATACTATCTCAGCAATTATTAGTGCTCTAGTTGGTGGCATAAACCTGGGAGAATGAACCGATTGAAGTGGACTAAAGTCTCATGCAATAGTCAATTTTATTCAGCGCATCAGACAATTTATATTTTGAGGGTATTCTGAGGGGTAAGCAAGGCTAAATAAGCAAAGGTCTCGTGAGTTTAGGCTGTATATAGTCACTAGGATAACAAGTGCTTGAATAAAAATGATAGATGATGGGCAACCTGAAGTAAACTACACATGGAAGGGGCACAAAAGCACATTCCAAGAACAATCCATGTTATGGAGGAACAGCAGTCATAAGACTTTTGTATTGTTTTCTTAGCTTTTTATCACAAGCTCTCAAAATCCTCTTTACATAACTTTATTCATGGAGGATGTTCCAACAGGCAACCTCACATAGAAAGTAGTTTCGTGGCCAAAACAAAAATTGAGGTGGCTAACATGAGGGGGCAGAAATAAAGACATCTTCCAGTCAGAAAGTTCTAGTGGAGATAGCTGAATCCTCTAGCAATACCAAAAGACAGACTGAAAGGAATTCTCAATAAACTCACACATCCCCATTTATAGTTAATATGATGATTAATTCAAGCCTTTATTTTTTGCTCACTTGGTTTAGTTGGAAACCAAATTCCTAAATGAGTTTCTCTTTGCTTTTAACCTATACAGGAAAGATGGATAAGATTGGTTGCACCAGTCTTTAGTTATCTGAAAATCAAACACATGGCTCAATCCTAAACTCAAAATCATAGACAGGAGAGGAAAATTTATAGGTAGAGATGAGTTATCAAAGTTGGGAAAATGGTGGGGAGCCTGGGAATTGGAATTGCTGGTAAAATGTGCTCACAATACAGCAACCTGATTCTTCCCATGTGCTGTGGTCTGAGTAAAAGATTCTGGGCTCACATGGATGCTCTGATGTACTGCTGTTGTCTTCTTAAGCAGTGGAGGTCTTTGTACTTGTGTTGCAGGCAAACAACTTAGGAAAATGCTCTCAAGCAAGCTGTACTGAGATAATGCACTTGCAACAGGAGTTCAATGTAAGGCTCTGAAAATGAGAGCAAAGGTCTACATCCTTGCTGCACCCCATTTCAGTTTTTCCCACTCCACAATCCCCATTCCTTCACTTCCAAATGTGATGACACCACACACACCCAGTAAAATTCCTTAAAGCTACTCCTATCCCAAGACCTGCTCCCTCAGAGACTCAGCCTTTGTGACATCTACAGTTCTACACACATCCCCTTTGTAAGGCATTGCACCAGAGGTATTAAAACTCAGTAGTCTGGTCCTGACCTTATTGAGCTGGTAGCATTCCAGGGTGTATGTATAGACCCTGTAGAGAGTGATTGTTCTTAAGGGAGGACAGCAAATCAGTCAGATGCTGATCATTTCCTCTGGTCCAATTTGCTAAGGGAAGAAGGGAAAAACAAACAAACTTCTTGTAATTATGAAAGAAGAACACCAGGAAAGAATGGGATGGGAAAGAGCCAAAGGCGGATTCCAAATGAAAGGCCATTTATCCTGAAATATTGCTGAGTCAGGGCTTGCATGAAAATGGTGCTGAAGGTAAATTATAAAAGGATTCAAAAAACACACTTGTAACTAGAGTTTTCATGCCTGGCCCACAGTCAGGACAAATCGCTGTCACCCGCCAGTCCCACAGCCACTCAGACCCAATCAAGTAAACACAGAGACTTATATTGCTTACAAACTCTATGGCCCTGGCAGGCTTCTTACTAACTGTTATTATAGCTTAAATTAATCCATTTCCATAAATCTATACCTTGCCACGTGGCTCGTGGCTTACCGGCATCTTCACATGCTTCTTGTCCTGGTGGCAGCTGGCAGTGACTCCTCCTGCCTTCCTGTTCTTTCTTTTCTCCTCTCTGTTAGTCCCGCCTGTACTTCCTGCCTAGCCACTGGCCAATCAGTATTTTATTTATTGACCAATCAGAGCAACACATTTGCCATACAGAACATCACACAGCACACACTCAGACATTTTTATGAATAATATTCCTTTAAAAGCTTATAAGACAAAAAAACAAAAACAAAAACAAAAACAAAAAAATTGCCGGGCGTTGGTGGCGCACGCCTTTAATCCCAGCACTCGGGAGGAAGAGCCAGGCGGATCTCTGTGAGTTCGAGGCCAGCCTGGGCTACCAAGTGAGCTCCAGGAAAGGCCCAAAGCTACACAGAGAAACCCTGTCTCAAAAGACAAAAAAAAAAAAAAAAAAAAAAAAGCTTTATCTTCCAGTTTCTAAATTATGAGATGACAGAAAAGACAGTGTTTCTATCTTACCTCTCTAGATTTAACTGTTTGCTTCTTGCTAACCTTTTTACTGCTTTGTGCTGATTTACTTGGCTAACATCCCTCCCCTGCAATTTCCTGTTTACTTCTCACATGAATCCCTTTTTTGTGGCTGCTGTGTGCTCCTTAAATGTTCATGAGATGAATTTATTTTTATCAACAGGCTATAGATTTGTTCTTAAGAAGTAGATATAATATTTTAGCTGGATTAAAGCAATTGAGAGGGTTAGACCTAAAAGCTGCCCCCCCCCAATAATTGAAAAGATAAAAGAAATGTTTAAACAAACAACTACTTCACACTGGGATTTAAATTCAAAGATGCTTATTACCTTCAAGTCCTTTAGAAAGTATACCAGTGTTGTGTGAGAGAGGCAATTATACAATCTTTTATCTTTGGGGGCAATGTCCTCACGTCTGCAGCATCTTTCCACAGCGCTGAGCATGCTGGGTAACAAAAAGGAAAAGAAGAACACTTTGTCTGTAGCTGCCATGGTATCCATGGGAGATAGCTCTTATGAATTCAATCTAAGTAAAGGAAACAGGCTCAAAGAAGTTTAGGTAATTATAAGGGCAGTGAAACAGTGGATGGCAGATTGAGGTCTCTTGTGTCAGTCTCACGCTCTGAGCGCTGTCTCCCTGGCAAGCTTGCCATTTGAGAGGCACTTTACTAGGGGATCCCTTCTGGGCTAAGAACTGGAGAAGCAGTCTTTAGAAACTGATCCTGCAGTTATATTTATGAGTCTAGGAATGATATATAATTACTGTGAAATCCCGGAAAAAGGAAAATAAACAGACAAATAGTTTAGTCCACCCTTCTGGTATAAATGTTGAATGGTATAAACAAAAATCAATGTATGCAGGCAAGGGCATATTGCTTGGGAGTTCAAAATCCTAGCTCAGTCTCAACTCCTCCATTTAAGGAGCTGAAGGACCTTATACAAGTGGCTTGACAGTTCTGAGTAGTGATTCTGAGCAGAGCTTGCAGCAAGATTAACCAGATTGAATCCTTCCAATCTAAATATCCTTTAGCAAATGATTTCATTTCTCTGTGCCTTGGCATTCTCATCTATTAAATGGGTATAGAATATTGCATTACATTACAAAAGTTTATTGTGGAAATAAATAAAACAGTGAGTGTAATGGACTTTAAAACAATGTGTTGCAAATTACTGTGTAAGCATTAGCTCACAAATTAGTTAACAAAGGCTTAACTCTTTTACGAAGCTCAGTGGTAAACTGTTTGCCTAACCTGGAAGAGATTCTAGATCTGACCTTCATCACTACAAAAAAAATAGTTAACTATTTTATTATTTGGCTTCCTAGTAACATAAAATAAACTCTCCAAACAGATTAAAAAATAAAATATACACATTAACATTTGCAAAGCTACATATATTTGAAGTATATAAATATCAGTATATCTTTGCCAAAATGTTAGCCAAGCTCTAGCTTCAAATGTTAACTTTGCGTACTTCTCTATGGAATCTCTAACTTTTTGTACATGAACACTTCATGTCAGGGATTACTTGCACCCATAGGAGGTAAGTCTAGAACAATACGTTATAATTGTGTCTCTCTTTTTAGAGTGCCATTGCTTGTTAACGCATCTACGATAATGAATAATGCCAAAATATCTCTAGTCAGAGGTATTTCTTGGTGTGGTTCAAAAGGGATTAAGCACTGCCTCTGTGATTTAGATTATCTATATAGCTTTCACATGTGACAAATATAGGTACTGTAAAAAACAAATCCAAAAATTAACAAAATATATCTATGCAAATATTTATTCACATGTTCATATCTGCAGGAAACAGGCTAAACAAATCCAAGAGCAGCTGAAAGAGTCACAGAATGGGAAAAACTACAGCCTCAAGGCATCCAGCACAATGACAAAGTCCGAGAGTTTGATGAAGAGCCATGTCCAGCTGCAAAGTGTAAGCTGCATGTCTCTACATTCCTTTCCTTGCCCATCTCAGAATCTTAAGTACAGAGGGGATTACGGAAACTGTGATCAGAACTATAGAATTGTTCACCACAATAGCAATTCTTGCTTAAATCATCTTGCAGTTGTATGAATGTGTGTGTGTGTGTGTGTGTGTGTGTGTGTGTGTGTGTGTGTTTTCAAACACTAAATAAGAAAGATGATTCTAATCTTCCATAATAACTGACCTTTGACAGTGATAGAAGTTTTGGTTGCTTGTTCCATAAACCACTTGGTTCTTTACTTTGTAATAAAAATATGGTAGACATACAGTGTCATACTTCTGGAGGCTGACTCACATCCAAGTCAGGTTCTAAAGGGCATGAAAAGTTCATGGTTAGGGTTAAAGGAGAAATGAGAATTGTGGTCACAGAATCCCTTCTAATAGCTAGACTGATGCTGTATGTGGGTCAGTCTGGAAGCCAAACACACATTCTGCCTGCTTCATTCTTTGAGAAGTACTTTTAGTCATTTCTGAGATACATTGCGAAATAGTGAATTAAACACAATGGGATGCTATCTAACACATGCTGAGACATGCCTTGTAAGGTTAATTCTTTGCCCCCACGTGAGATTCTGCTTCTAGATTCTGATGCATGAAATGAAAGAACAAAGACCATGGTACAAACCGGGTGTTTGAGGATAATAGGCAATCACCCGGGCCGCATGCTTGCCCTTCCAAATGCTTAAATCACTGAGAATTTGCACATCATTTGTGATTCTAAGAAATCATTACCCAAAAGTTGCCATTATGATGAGTGTAACAGATGTACTTAGCTGATTTAATGTGAAATTCATAAATCTGAATTGCTTCCCAGCAAAGTTTCCTTAAACTTTTATTCATGGCAATGTGCAAGATTGTTCTGTTCAGAAACAGAGAGAATGCCTTTGCTAATGATTTCTAATGAGTATAATCCCAGCACCTTCAACAGCCACCATGATGAGGATTTCAGTTCCTTAGCAACTGGCCCTATGAACAATAAACAAAGCCAGACACCTGCAGAAGCAGCAGGGATAGACTGTAATCAGTAATGAAACATTGAATAGGAAAAGGGGTCCAGCATGAACTATACTTAACTTCAATAGGTTCAGCAGTGACCAGGCCTTGTAAAGGGAGGAAGCAAGTAGTGAAACAAGGCTGAGCAAGGGCTTAATCAGAGGCAGGGAATTAAGCGTGCAAAGGGTTGGACAGTGTAAATGCCATCAGGCAGCTGTGTCTGCTGGCTAGCCAGTACTGGAATCAGAAATCTACCTTCCCACAAGGCTGGGACACAGAGCCTCTACCCTTCCTGATGATTGCATTTCAAAGACTGGCCTCTAGGTCCTCATGAAGAACAGTTTTTGAGCTTAGGAGATCCACATTTATAATTATGAGTCCTTTTCAGAAAATGCTTTGGGAAAGGAAGCCAAGGACCTGCCATCAGGTGTGGTGAGAACAAATCTGAAAGGCTTTTCAAGTTTCTTGAGTTCTGTTTTGATCCAGGTGCTTTATGGGAGAAGAAACATTGCAGGAAAGCAGAAATGAATGACTGAAAATGAAGTTAGTATTTGTACAACAGGTTGATCAAAGCATACCTGGAGAAAGGCTATAGTTTCTATAGCCCATAGGCTAGATTTAATGGAAAGCAGTCAGGTCTGTTTTCTGTATGATTGCCACACACTCATTTGAGATAGCTGCAAAACTGTCCACAAAGTGACCTCATGACAGTTTCCTCATCCAGCCATTGTAATAAGCATGCAGTTTCTCTCTACTATTAATGGCAACATTAAAAGGAAATTTCATCCATGTGTCTCCCTTTTCTTCCCCTGACTTGAATATTATGATTCAAATTACAGTGAAGAAATGAGTTATCCATAGGATTCACAATATTTGAAAGACCTTCATCACATATGATTTTAGGACCACTACACCTCTCCTCTGTAGCCTACAGGACCCAGGAGATCTTTGTCTTGACACAGGGTACAAAGAGTCTCTACTGTATCATTTCCTCTGGGCTTTAGAGGATATGTAGATGGCATCTTCTTGTATCATCACCATTGTTTTACAGAAAAGGGACATGAGTGGAAAAAAATGTTTGTTTCACTATTATGTTCTCTCTGCTAGGCCCTAAACAGAAGAGAGATGAATCAGAGAAAAGAGTTTGATATGTAAATACATCACAAATCCAACATATGGAATACTCCAAAGTAAATGAGACAAAGGGATGTTTTGAATTTAGGCTTAAATAGCATTTTATGCTAAAGGAAATGGAGCTTTGGGATTTCTAGGTGGGGAAGGCAGATTATGGGAATATAAGCAGGAACAATATGGGATTATTGTTTTGTTTTGCAGATTTCAGTGTATTCCTTTTTGGTAAGAATTGTTGAAAGGCTTTTTCTCCTTGTGGAGCACAGCCAGATGTGTGTACATGTGGAATCTGCCCCACTTATAGGGTTCTTCCTGTCTTCAATTGTTCTCAGTGACCTTTAACTCAAAATAGTCTCTATGGCACAGAAGCATTTGGGGGTCATAAATTCTGGCAGTCCTCCACTTATATGGCATTTCAGTAGAGTTACAGGAGATAACCAGGGCAACCGGTTGAACAGAGGTTGAGAGACCTGGAGATGAATCCGCATGAAAGGAGAGCAGTTTGCATGGAAGAGCTAGATATACCCAGTGACTGCATCCTACACATTGCTGGCTGCCTGCCGTTCAAGGGATTAAATGTACAGGTCCTTTTAATTATACTAGATTGAGGTGAACAAACTTCTTCCCACAGGGACATGTCAACTTCAACCCTAGGAAGCGATGTGGGTGGTTGCCAGTTTTGTAAAATCCTTATCAACATTTCCTGTGCTAAATTCAAGTGGGAAATTGAATTCTTTGAAATTTGCATTCCTTTATTTGATAGTGAAGAATAATCTCTGTCTACCTATTTCTGGTCAAATTTCATCTTTGGTGGATTGCATGCTCACAGACTTGGCTCACAGTTTTATTGCAAGAAGCAAACAGCAACTTGACTGCAATTTTTCACACTGTAAGTTGAGAGGAAACAGTGACTGGAAAATAGATATTAATTATTCCTGCAAAAGGAATAGTTGTGTTACTTCAATGCTATTCTAGAAAAATCATAAAAGGAAGTATGCAGGGAGTCTATGCAGTTGCAGGACTAGAACCATAGAAAAGACTTTAGAAGTTTTAGGTGGTTTAATATTAAAATGCAAAGGTGCTAGAGGTAATTTGAAAACACATTTGCCTTATAAGTTTACATATATATATATATATATATAATCTATATACATATCATATATACATACATATCATATATACATACACATATATTTTTTTCTTCCTGGCAAGAAAAATGAGGAGATATCAATGTCAATGATACATTGTTAAATATGAGTGTAGTACAAGTAGTCTGCTCTGGAAAGGATCTGTTACATAATTGCTCTGGAGGAGTAATGTTTATTGGGAAAAAAAGGTCTTCAGACTCTGATGAAACCTTGAGGTAGGAGAGGATTGGGAAAAAACAATATATTTAAAACACACAAAAAGACCATATATGCAAAGAGAGTTTCCCTCTTACAACCAAGAGAGGAGTGCCATTAAGATGGATAGGTAAACATAGAGAGAAAGAGAGAAATTGCTCTTCAGGGTAAGAAACATATTAGGAGATATATTAACTCAATGTGTATAGTACAGTAGGGTTATGAAGAGATACTTCCATTCTACCTAGACTAAAAGTGGTACCCTGTGTCCATTTTCAAAGATTCCTAGGAGAGGAGGGAGGTCCCATACCCCAAACACCAAGCTTAGTAAGTAAGCTATATTATATGCCTGGAGCCAGGTGGCCTCTGATTCCAGGGAAAGTGGTGGTGGTGGGGGTTGGCTCATTGTAAGAATGTTGAGAACTATAAGACTACACAGTTACAACAGGTGACCTCCCATCTCTTTGTAGCAGCAAGTTCATGTGGGGGAGAGATTGCAGTGGGAGTACACTGACTTGTAAGGCTGTTTAACATCTGTGGAATCACCTACAGAAGAGTGAAATGGGTTGGGAGCTTGGGAAAGTCACTTCCATGAGCACACTAGTAAAGGGTCTCAAATGCAAGCGTGCATCTACATAAGGCAATGGACTCTCCTGGGCTGTCAACAGAGGGTGGTTTGTCTCTCTTTCTCATTTGGCACAGTCTAGGAACACTTGGAAGTCTTGGAAGAAAAGTGGTGCTGGAATGCACTGGCCACAAACTGGGGCCTCTGAAAACATCCTCAAATGCGGGAGCACCTTCCATAACCCCAAATTCTCTTTCCCAAAATGTCAGGGATGCTACAGATTTTCAGAGTCTATGCTCTGGTTATAAATGTAATCATTGGAGACCTGTGAACACCACCCTCTAATGCTGTTACCACTTTCTTCCTGTGAACATTTGGACATTTATCTCCATCCCAAAGAAGGTAACAGGGTACTTGAATCCACTATATGCTACTTGGTTATGATATTGGGCAAATCTTGAAGTACAGGTTAACTACTCAAAAATTCTTTGCAAATTGCAATGTTTAACAAATAAATTATCTGTGTCTGGCATCCCTTCACTTCATGAAATATTCATGTGAAAGATTTAACTCGACAGTCATTTAACAGGAGATGAAACACATAGTCACATGATATCACATGATATTCTAGACACATTGAACTTTGGCTACAGATGAGAGTTGGTTATCCCTGCAGTGACTCAGAAGCAGACATCCTTTGCCTCCATTTATAAGTAGATTCTTTGTGACTTAAAGTTGAACTATTCTCATTAGTTCTGTCCTGGATGAGAAGGCACTGAGGATAGAGTTATGACCTCCAGAGCCATCGAGACAATAGTGTGAAACTTCTCAGAGGAGTTCAAGGATCAGATAGATAGTCATTAAAAGGGAGGATATTGGTTCTCCCATAAAACCAAGAAAGCATATTCGTAACCACA